CTCGCTAAGCTGATTTTGCAACCCCTAAAGAATGACAGTTCTACTTGAAAATTCTGGGGTCAGGAAAGATAAGGCAACCTGAGAGGTGTGTGTGGGGATTATGGAAGTCCAGAACCAGGGCAGGGGAAGGGGACAGTGGTCTCGATGCTAAGATGCTGGCATCCTGGAGAGGAAGACAGGAGGGGGATAATCTGGTTTTTAATAGTAGGAAATTAATTCAAAAATTACTCCAAGTATTACACTCCTGGGCACACTCCCTAGAGAGAAAAGCATTCACATGGACATCAAATTACATTTATAAGCATGTTTATAGCAGCACCATTCATAAGGGCCCCAAACTGGAAACCAAGCAAGTGTCCATGAATAAAATGTGGAAAACTGTACAGCAATAAAAATGAGCAAAACACATGCCACAGCATGGATGAATCTTCAAAACTGTTGAATGAAGACATCCAAACATAAGACAACACATACAGTATTTATAAAGATCACAAAAAGGCAAACCTCACAGCGGTGATAAAACCAAAGTGTGACTGCCCTAAGTCTGCGGGGTTACATCTCTTCTGGGGAGAGTAGAGTGTTGTTTTCAAGACAGGGCGTGCAGTAGGCATGGGAGCCCAGAGGGCTGGCAGTATCTAGTTTTGTATCCAGATTATAGTTACACGGGGGATGCACTTTAGAATTATTCATTTAGCTGTACATTATGTTTTATGTACTTCCTGTACGTATGTCACATTCCATAAATACACACACACACACATCTTGGGGGAAAAAAAAAATCACTGTGGGAACCAAAGTTTGTGACCCTGGGCCAGATCTTAAGCACAGGTGGTGATGAGGGGCACAGACCCTGCGAGGTCAGATGATTAGAATAAAACAGAAGAGGCCTGGGATGCATAGGTCCCCTGCGAGGAGCCAAGAGGCAAGCGACTTGAGGTGTGCGACCAGGGGAAGGTCAACACTGCCCCCCGCGCCCCCTGCCCCCCCATGTCCTGCTCACCCAGGTAGTTCTGCCAGCAGTTCCTCGTCTGGTTCTGGTTGGGGAAGCGGCTGTCAAAAGGAGCAGTCTGGTAGTTCTTGATTTTGGTCTTGATGTCCTCTGCCATAGTGCTGACTCCTGGAGGCAGAGAATGGGTGCTGGCAGGGGTTCTGGGGCTGGCAAGGGGCTGTCAGTCCACCCAGGCCCGGTGAGCCACAAGCCAACGCCCCTCCCGCTCAGTACACACAGAGACAAAGGCAGGGCAAGAACACATTAAGGGTGGAAGTCACAGCAGGGTGTCTGGGGGAGTCAACTCCTTGGTAAAATCAGGCTTTATTTGTCCCAACATAACACCAGCTGACATTCACTGAGTGCTTACTATAAGCAAGGAAGCTTTATTCCTACAGTCACTCTACAAGGCAGAAACTATTACTATCACTGCTTCACAGACAAGAGACAGGGTGTTTAAGCGACTTCCCAAGGTCATTCAGCACACATGTGGTGGAGCTGCACTCTATCACTAACTTAACCTACACTGCAGAGGTTCTTAAGGTCTACTGACGCCATGAACTCCTCAGGGGTCTAATGAGTCCTTTCTCAGAATATGTTTAAATGCATTTAAAGGGGACTTCCCTGGTGGTCCAGTGGTTAAGAATCCGTCTTCCAATGCAGGGGACGGGGGTTCGATCCCTGGTCAGGGAACTAAGATCCCACCTGCCCCGGGGGCAACTAAGCCAGCACGCCACAACTAGAGAGAAGCCTGCGCACCTCAACGAAGATCCCGTGTGCCGCAACTAAGACCCGACGCAGCCAAAAAGAAAATAAATAAATAAAAACTTAAGAATGCATTTAAAAATTGCATAGGATCACAAAGAAAACCAGTTACTTGTAGCTGAGGATTTATTAACTTCCACAATTTCAAAATAATCATGCCTGAAAATGACATGTTGTGAAATCTGCAACCATAATGATCTGTAAGATGACCTACGATTTGATTGCTGACAAAGTCACAGATGATGCCAATACTACTAGGGCTATTGCCTCCATTCTTAACTGAAGGAAATGCTACATTTTAATTAGAAACTAGCAGAAATACAGATGTAAATTTCCCCCCATTCAAGTACTAGCACCCCTTGAATTCTACAGATTCTGTGGACCCAGGGTTAAAAACCTGTGCTGTAATCTCTCTTATGTGGTGACACACTGTTTTCATCAGAGAATCCGAGAGAAACTGCCTCTATCAGATTATTCGAGGAGTCGTGGGATTACACAGAAGTAAGCAGACCAGTAATAAATTCAAGCGACCCAGGGTAGCGGTAAGGATCTGGGGCACCGGAGGAGAGTCTTTCCGGGAGCGGGGTGATGTGAACACCAGCCGCTGGGACACAGACGCGGTCGGAAGAGTTGTTTTGGAAGCGATCTCCACCCGCTTTCGGGAGGGAGGGTGGACTGCGGATGACGCTGCAGCCCCTCCAACGTCCAAGGGAGAGGAGGGGCCAGACACCAGGAAGCCAGGCTGCGGCCTAGGCAAGCCTGGGGGGTCGGGGGTCGTGAGGGGAGGGACGCCTGAGGCCTGGTGACTAAGAGCACTGCAGTCCTGGTCGCTGGCTAAACTGCATAATATCTGATCCTCAGTTGCCTGCCAGTCAAAAAGGGATAATCGCAGGCCCTATCTCATAGGGCTGGAGGGAGGATTACATGAAGCAATATAAATCGCTTGGAATGTTCCTGGCATCGAAGAACTAAATAATCGTCAGCTACGATTACTAACTGAACAGGACCCCAGGGCTCCTGGAGGTCGGCCGCCGCCGGCCGGAAACCTTATCTCGTTCTCCGGGAAGCAAGGGTCGGGCTCCACAGTCCCCCAGGCTGGGGTTCCAGGGCCCCCGAAGCCCCCACACTCACCTAAAGATGCTCCTGAAGCCCCTCGAAGCTCAATGTGACCCTTAGCAATGACGCCAGCGTCGGACCGGAAGCGGAACGAAGACCGGCCGGAAGCGGGACGAGGCAGCGCACTGGGCAGCCTTCCGCACGGCTAGAGCGCCGTCCCTGGAGCGGTTCAGGCCACGCCCATGCGAGCGAAGTCCAACCTTCCTATTGGGCTGAATGCCTGTTCATCCTCAATCCCGACCCAATCGCAAGCTTGCGTGTCACTTGGAACCGCACGGAGCTATGGCTGTGCGAGCTGTGGGCGCAGCATGGTCACCTCTCTGTCTTTACCAGGAGAAAGGAGTCTGGGTCTTGGGGCTGGTTGGAGAGTGGGCATGGGAAAAATATCGTAGCGGAAATGCTCTTATTCGTGCAAGAATTATTTATTGAATGCTTACCCTGACAAAATCCTTGCAAATGACCTACACGGTTTGGCCCCCTTTTATACTCTTATCTCCTTCTCTTAACTGCTGCGGTTCCAGGCACACTGGCCTCCTTAGCAGTTCCTTAAACGTGCAGGCTGGCTTCCCCGTAAGGGCCTTTGCACTTGCTGTCCCTTTGGCCTGGAATGCTCTTCTTGCAGTTGGCTCCCTCCATCATGTCCTGCAGGTCTTTGTTAAAATGTCACCCTATCAATGAGTACTTCTCAGTCCAAATATTTAAAATTGCTGTCTTGTCAGTTTCTTCCCTACTTTATTTCCCCAAAGCACTTATCTTCTGACATACTGTATCCTTCCTTTTATTGTTTATCTTTTTTTGTCTCCCTCAATATATAATAGAAGCATCATAAAGGAGCAAGTTTTGTCTCATTCACCATTGTTTCTCTAGCACTTAAAACAGTTTCTGGCACATAGTATAGGTACTCTATAAATATTTGTGGAATGCGTGAATTTCTTGTGTGAATAAAGGGGGCTTCCGGGGACTGGAAGAGGAAGCTGGGAAAGAGACCTGCTTTTGCCCCTCCCCTCAGCCTGGCCTCCAAAGCTTCTCACATACTGTGCTGGGTGCAGCGTCCAGGCCTAACTGGGTTGGGGGCCACTTATGCATTCTGTGTTCATCAGCGTTGTAATTATTTGTGGAACTGCCTGTTTACATGCCTGCACCCACCCCCTTCAATGAGATCTTCCCAAAGCCCAAAGCCCTTCCCTGCTTAACCCCCTCCCTGGCTCCCCTGTGCCCTCAGGACAAAGTCCAGGCCCCTTACCATGGCCCACATAGGCAGTTCCAACTGGAGCTTTGTGGACTGAGCCGTGGTCCCCTCTCCAGCCATGCTGATATTTTAGTTCATTGAACAGTGCTGTGAGATCTACCTCCAGGCCTTCGATTACTCTATTTCTCTGACTGGGACATTCTTTGCCTACCTGACTTTTCAAATCAGCTATTCTCTTCTCCAGGAAATTTTCCCTGACCACCCCCCTGCCCCCACCTCAAGCTAGGGCAGATCCCTCTTTTTGGTCCCCCTCAACCCCCTAGAGTTTCCCCATCCCAGCCCTGACCACTCTGGGCTGTCCCTGGCTGGTGATGGGTCTGTCTCCCCACTGGACTGTGAGCTTCCTATGGGCAAGGTCCAGGGTCGTCTTGGTCACTGCTGAGTTCCCAGCATGGCCCATAAGGGGACTACTCAGTAGGCTCTCTTCAGAGGCTCAGTAGTTCCTAGAACAGGGTAGGCTCTCCTTGGGGTCTGAGTTCTATGGCCCCCAGCTTGGAGTGGGGAAACAGAGTAGATGGTTTTGGGGCATAAGCACTAGGTCTAATTCCTTGATGGTTCCTAGCACTGGGAGGTCACACAGTAAGCCCTTTTTGGAGTCTGAGTCCTCTCTTCAAGGTGGGGACAGTAAATAAACTCGAAAGTTAGTGATTGGGTCTGATTCTTGTGCAAGTCCCAGTACAGGGCAGGCACACGGTAGGCAGGCCCAGTGGGGACTGTCTGATTCCTCTGCGTGTCCCACGACACAGTGAGCACACGGTAGGTCCCCCTGTGTGTTTCGGGATCACACGGGGCTGTGGAGGCGATGTGGGTGTGCTTGTGCACACAGGCTCCCTAGCAGACGTAGTTAGTATCCGTGGGAAGGATGCAAACAGCACGCACAACGATGCTTGACCGTGTATTTTTATTGAGTCGTTGCTCCCTGTCCGCTCTCCACGCAGTCGGGATAGACTAGGCCAGGCACGCGGCCCCCGAAGCGGTACGTGTACTTGCGCCCCCCGCTCTTGCGCACGATGTCGCGGCGGTAGTAGTAGCGCAGACCTCGGCTCAGCTTCTCGTAATTCATGCCGGGCTTCCTCTTGCGCTCGCCCCACAGCCGCGCCACCTAGGGCGGAGGCCGGGCTTAGTCTGAGGGGGCGGGAGAGGTGAGGAGTGGGAGGGGCTTGACAATAGATGGGTGGGGCGGGGTTGGGGTTCTGGTCTGTCAGCGTGGAGGTTAGGCCCGGCGGAGCGGGGCGGAGTTGAGGGCGAGGCTGAGGGCGGGGCCTAGCACTAGGCGAAGTGCTGCTGGTGGGGCTAAACTGAACACAGGGAGACCCAGGCGGGACTAAGCGGGTCTGGGAGGCTGCCCCACCTCTTTGGGGTCGCAGAGTTGGAACTCGCGGCTATTGCCCGTCCAGCGGATGCAGCTGCTACGCGCCCCGTCGTGGAGTAGCTCCAGGAGGAACTGCCACAGCTGAATGGGACCTGCGGGGTGGAGGCAAGTGAATACTCAGGTTTCCTGGCCCCAGATCATGTCGCTTCGATGACCCAGGAATCCGGATCCCCTCCTCCTCGGGGACCGAGTCCGGATTCCTCCGTCTAAGGGACCTAAGAGTTGGCCTTGGGGACCCAGGCATCGGGGCCCCCATCTTGGAGATTTAGGAGTTTGGCTGCCCCATCTTGGAGACCCAGGGATCCACATCCTCATCTCTTTCCTCTTGCCTAATGCAGGAGCCTAGGTCCTCCTCCCTTGCTCTCGGGAAGACTACCCGTGTCTTAGTCCTCTCCTCCCTGGGGACCCAACAGGAGGGCCACCGCCCCCTCCTCTCTCGAGCCCCGCCAGTTTCCCGGTCCCGCCCCCTTGGCGCCTAGGCCCCGCCTCACTAGACTCCGGCTTCGCTCCCTCGGGACAAAGTGTCTTGGACCTCACCTCGGTGGTTAGCTTTGGGGTAACAAGCCAAGGTTGCGCGGTCCGACTGCTGGCTCGGTTCGGAAGAAGTGGTGAGATCTGAAGTCTGGTACTCCTTCGAAGAGGTGGTGCAGTCTGTATGCAGCCCCGAGTCCCAGGAGATGGTATAGTCCGATCCCGCAGGCCCGCCCCACGAAATGGTAGAGTCGGCGGGCGGCTCCCCGCCGAGGCTCTTGCCCCAATAGGTGGCGCCGTCCGGGCCAACAGAATAGTCCCAGCTGGTGGAGCTGGCGGCGACCTGGGCGCCCGACCACGAGTTGGCACTTTCCGCGGAGGTGGCGCAGTTCTGGGCGGCTGCCCCTTCAGAGCCAGCCCAGAGGGCGGGACCCAGGGCCTGGGAGACGCGGCTCCAAGGGACCGAGCCGGTGCACGGCAAGTCTGTCCAGTCTCCCGACCACGGAAGAGCCTGAGGGGCGGGTTCTGTGAGGACGAACGGACCCCAAGTGAGAGGAGCCCAGGTGTCCCGATCCCTGGCCCCCTCGGGGGTTCTAGGGGTCGAAGCTCGCAGCCCTGGCGCCTGGGGCCCCACGCTCCAGGATCTCGGTCATGCCACCTTAAGGGCACAGGCGTCCCCCGTCCTATCCCCGTTCCCCCTCAAAGATCGGGGAGTCTAAACCTCTAGTCACAATGGAGGACCCCAGTCCCCTCCTCCCCCCACCTCTCCGCACACACTCACCCGCCCCCCATGGAGCTTCTGGGTACGGTAATGCGGAGCCCCAGTCCGGCTGTGGGAGCCCTGAGAGGGATAGGACGTAGCAGAGTTTAGGGGATGGTGTGCACAATGATTAGAGACTCCCCTCAGCCACTCAACCCAGTGGTCTTTATTTGTCAGGGACTGAGAGTTATTACCCCCGGCCCCTACTCACTCAGACCTGGGACTCAGGAGGCTGTCTGGGCCCCTCCTCCTTCAACCTCTGGAGTTCAAGCCCACACCCCTCTCCCCGCTCAACCCCAGGAGTCCAGGCACGCCCCCTTCCTCCCTTAGACTTAGAAGCCAGCGTCTCACCTTCCCCAGCGCTCAGGGGTCCCAGCCCACAGACACTTTTCCAACCTGTCTCCGCTGTCAGCGTGTCCCCTTGGAGTGCCAGTTCAGGGAAATAGAAGTCGAGTTCAGCTCCTTCTGCAGGCAAGAAGGTTAGAGCCCCGTCAGGGTCAGTGGAGGCGCCCACCTGAGCACCCTCCCCACACACATTGTCTCAGCCCCAGCAGCCTACCCAGACCTGACAGCCTGCTCCCCAGGGGCACTTCCTGTGCTGATGCTTCATCCCAGTTCCACAAATCCATGGCTGCTCGCTGTGAATATTCTGGGTCAGAAAAAAAAAGGGCCCAGGGTGAGCTTAGGGACCCTGGAGTCTGAGCCCCATCCCTTGCTTCACTCAGACAGAGGAGTCCAGGCCTCTGCTCCCTCCTTCCCCAGGACCCTGGATTGTTGGCCTCCAGTGTCCTTTTCTCTCAGACCAGGAGTTAAGGGCCCCCAGACACCCAGACTTCCAGTCCCCAGTTCACAGCTCACCTCTGGCAGGTCCCTCTGCCCTCAGCCGGGGGTCTCAGCCCCATTTCATACCATGCACCCCCTCCCCCCAGGGGCCTGGGCAGGAGGGAATTTTCCAAGACGTCAGAGCTGGGGGTCGCAGCGGGGGTCGAGTTGCAGGGGCTGAGGCGGGGCCGAGCTGTGTCACCCCTGCCCCACTCCCCTCTGCCCCCAGAGATGGCCATCCGCCTCCATGGTAGCTTTGGCTGTCCTGCTGCAGGGGTGGCTTGGACTTGAACAGGAGCTTGGCAAACAGCGGGCTGGGAGAGACCCGGGTGAGGAGGGGTGTTTCCGGGGTGACTGGGGCGTGGGGGGGGGGGCTTGGGGACTCGATCCTGTGACACGGGAGGTGGTGGGGGAGGAGAGCCTGGGGTCAGCTGGGCTGCGCCAGGCTTATCTGCAACAGGAAGGGGGATTTCCGGCCAGACCCCTGGTGGGCAGACGTCACAATCCACAGGGGGCCTGTGGGGGTAGGTTGACCTGGGATCCTCCACCAGGCCCACTTCTCCCCTTCTGAGGGCTTTGAGGGGAAGTCCTGGGGCTGCTTCCGAGGACAGTAGCAACAACAGTATGAACAATAACAACAGTGATAATAATAGCTAACATTTATTGGGGGCTCATTACATGCCACCGGCTGTGCTCTGGGCCTTTGTTTAATCCGCTTACCAGGTAGGTACTAGTCTTATCCCGATTTTATGAAAGGGGAAATTGAGGAGGAATTCCTTCCACTTTTCTTCATCTCCAGAATCCATGCCCTTCCCTACTAATAACAGTTCAGGACAAATGGGGAAATTTGAATATGAACTGAATATGAGATATAGAATTAGTCATTTTCTTAGATGTGATGATGGTATTATGATATGAAAGCTATCTCTATAAGGAACACTGAGATATTTAGGGGTGAAGTGTTGTGTCTGTAACTTGTTTCCAATGATTCAGCAAAAAAACAAACCATGTATACTTGCGACATGTACATGCACACGTGCAATATTTGGGACACACTTATACTAAAAAATTATTTGTTGTTTGTCTTAAGTTCAAATTTAACTAGGTGCCCTGTATTTTTATTTCCTAAATCTGGCAACCCTAAACCCTGGTAGCTTGGCTTCAGAGCCTGTGCTTGTACCCATCCTGCAATATTGATAAGTAAATATTTACCATTAAAAATAACCTCTTTAGGGCTTCCCTGGTGGCGCAGTGGTTGAGAGTCCTCCTGCCGATGCAGGGGACACGGGTTCGTGTCCTGGACCGGGAAGATCCCGCATGCCGCGGAGCGGCTAGGCCTGTGAGCCATGGCCACTGAGCCTGCGCGTCCGGAGCCTGTGCTCCGCAACGGGAGAGGCCACAACAGTGAGAGGCCCGCGTACCACAGAAACAAAAACAAAAACAAAAATAACCTCTTTAATATGGGCCATTTCCAATATTCACCTAGTTCAATCACTAACCACTTGCCATTCTGGGGGTGGGAGGAGTGGGGGGCGTGGGCACTGCCCTTCATTGTTACACGAGGGAAACTGGGCCTCAACAGGAAGAGCAACTTACTAGGTCACACAGTGGGTGGTCTGGGGCTCCTGGGATTGGACCCAGCGCTGGTTGAACCACAGAGCCCTCGGGCATCACCAGTCCCTCCATCCATCTAACCCAGGGGTCTGAAAGGAGTCTCCACCTGCTGTGCCCCACCAGGCCTGGAGCCTCCTCTCCCTGAAGCTGGCCTCTCTCCTGTCTGTATGTGTCTGTCTCTCCATGTCTCTCTGCCCTGGGTTGACGTCCCTGGCCCTGGGTCTCTGTTGTACCAGGCCTGACTGCAGTAACTTTTTTTTTTTTTTTTCCCCAACTTTTTTTTTTTTTTTTGCCACACCTCACAGCTTGTGGGATCTTAGTTCTCTGACCAGGGGTTGAACCTGCACCCTCAGAGGTGAAAGCAAGGAGTCCTAACCACTGGACCCCAGGGAATCCCCCCAAGTCTCTTCTGATGTCTCAGTCCCTCCCCACCTGTCTTTAAGTGTTTCTGTCTCTCTCCCTATCTCCTTATCTGTTTCCATCTCTTTCCCTCCCTGGGTTTTTTCCCCATCTGCCTTCCCATTGTACTGCCTCAGACCCACAATTCTCGTCTCTTCCTGTCTCCCTTCCCACCTCTCTGTCTCTGCTCACTACATCCCTTCCATTTTGGTCCCTCTGTCTCTCAACCCCATTGATCTTTTTCTGTCTCCCCTCAGGACTTAAATGCACACATTTAAAACCCACCTTTCTGGAATCATTCTTCTTTCCATCTCCTCCTTTGCCTGCAGTGAATAGAAGAGGGTCAGGAGTAGGGAGGGCTAGTGATGTGGGGATGGGGTTTGAGGGTGGTCCAGCCCAGGTGGCAGGGGGCTGAAGGGTACTTCCTGCCATTGATGGGAGGCCCTCACCCCTCTAACCAGACTGGAAAATGTGACGTCAGAGGGGGCAGTAAGGGAGGAAGACAGGAACTGAGGAAATTTGACACCTTTCCTGGGTAACTGGCTTCCCTGAGAAGCCTTGGCATTGTTTCTCCCCTCCCTCCCAAGCCCTCTCCCAATCAGGGGTTCTGACGGCTATGTCCCAGGGAGGCCCTCATCCCCTCCCCATGCCATCTCCCTCCTTTGCCTGGTCACTGCTCCAGCCTACTTCCAGAACCCCAGATTTTTCTAAAGTGCAAATCTGTGATGCTAGTCCCCTGCTTGAACTTTGTCTCAGCTTCTCAAGGCTGGCTGCTTTCAGGGTAAAGTCTAAGCTCCCAGTTTGGCATTCAAGTTCCTGCATGGACACTTCTTCAGACAGGCAGAGACAAGCGTGGAGCTGAGAAACAGGAGTTGGGGAGAGACTTACAGATGCAGAGAGAGAGAAGAGAGACTCAGAGAGATACAGACACTTAGAAAGAGACAAGAAACAGAGGGGCACTCACAGAGAAACAGAGAAGGAGGCACAGAGAAACAAAGAGATAGAGCAGAAGTTGGCTGGATTTTGGCAGAGTAAAGAAACTAGAAAACAGTCTCAGAGACCTAGAGGGTGACAACTGCAGAGACTAGGAGAGAGAAAAACAGGAAGAGAATGAGAGTCTCAGAAGTGGCCAGTGCCTTGAGGAAGCCCCTCCCTGACTCCCAGGATGGCTCCCATCCCAACCCTGATCACTCTGGGCTGTGACTGTCTGGCTACAGCCCTATCTTCTGCCACTGGACCATGAACTTGGAGGGAACAGGGCCTGTGGCTGTTTAAGTCACCATTGTGTCCCCAGCACTGTCCAGGCCCTTGATGAGAGTCTGCTGAATGGATGAAAGCCTGGAAGGTGTGAGCTCCAGAAGGGCAGGGCCCAGAAGACCCCCTTATCTTGGTGCTGAGAACACAGGGTGGAGTCAGAAGACCACAGGTTTGAGCCTCTGCTTGGCTTCGGCCTTGCCCTAAGCCTCTACTTCCTCCTCTGTGGAATAGGCTGCACTGGACGTGCACTTAAGAGGTTTCAAGAAGATGTAAGGGGCATGCAGCAGGGACCGAAAAATGCCCATCTGCATGTTTGAGTAAACTTTCAAGGCTCCCCACTATTCCCAGAGTGGGGGATGCTAAGCCCTGCCCCCCAAAGAGTGCTTCCAAGCCTAGCCAAGGATGGAAATGAACGTAAATTTATTGAAACTGGTTTTGGGGAGGATGGGTGGGTGGATAGTTGAGGATTTCCCAAAGAACTGTGGGGAGGAGCCAGCGCCCGGCCGGGTGGGAGCGGGTGCCCAGCCACAGACCCTATCTCAGGCCCAATTTCTTCTTCTCCTTTTGCTTCTTGCGCACCACGTCCAGGTTCCGGTCCTTCCACATGCTCTTGCGCAGCTTGATGGGGCGTGAGCCCACATACTTCCCTGTGGGAGGGAGGGTTCATGGTCAGGCTTGGGGTCAGGCTCAGGCCAGATGCCTGCCATGCCCACTGACCCTAGGGAAGGCTGCACCCACCATTCATCTCACGCATGGCGCGCACATAGTCGCTGGGGTCCTTAAAGCTGACGAAGCCATAGCCCTTGGTTTTGCCCGTGCGCTTGTCGCGGATCACCTTAGCCTTAAGGAAGGATGGGAAGCGGCTGAAGGCTCGTGCCAAGATGTCATCATTCACCTCATTGCCCAGATCCCCACAGAAGATTCGGAAGTCATCTGGGGTTGGGAGAGAGGAGGTCAGAGGATACAGATGTCTGGCTCAGTCTTATTTAAATGACCCCACCTTCTCTGGAAACATCACCAAGCCCTCTTCCTCAGTATGCCCTGCAGTCTCTGCCTGGGGCCCTCTTGGTCATAACAGCCAATGCCTGTATAGTATTTACCCTGTGCTAGGCTCTCTGCTAAGCACCCATGAGGTTCTAGCACATCTGGCACTCTCAACAACCCTTTACACCAAGGCACAGAGAGGTCAAGTCACCCGCCCCAAGTTAATCAGGAAGCGGCAGAGCTGGGACAGGAACTCAGGCATCTGGCTCCAGAGTCCTCACTTTTAACTAACTGCCCTGCCCTGCCCCACCCCAGGGCCAGCTCTCCCATTCCCTCGATGAAGCCCCTACCTTCGTCATCCCAGCCCTGGCCTGTCCTCCAAGCCCACAGCATCCTTTGGTCTCCTGAACACCTCCCCATGGACATTCCCTGGGCCCCTGACACCCACTGGCTCCCATAATGGCACCCCGGTACCACAGAATTCATCGTTCCTCAGCTCTGCTTCCTCTGCAAAGCCCACTCTAAGCCCCCTTGAGTCCCTTAAACCTGAACATACTGCCTGATTCTTCTCCAAGGCCAACTTCAGCTGCCATTCCTGGACATATCCCCTGGGCTGGGCCTGAACCTCGACCAAATGTGCTCAAGCCCAAGAATCCCTTCCCGCATGAGCATATACTATTACCATCCCCTTGCTGGAGATGAGGAAAATGAAGCTTGAAGGGCTAAGCGACTTGCCCAAGGTCACAGAACTAGGGCCTACAGCCTGCACTGGCCACATCTGGGCCGGCGCTACCATGGCTCTGGCCTGGGGTGGGTAGACGGTCCCAGGGAAAGAGGCAGAAGTCAAAGACTAGGATGGGAGGCAGGCCCCTCTCCTTGGCTACCGCTGTGGCTGCCCCATAGCTCTGGTGGTGACTGAGGACACTCTCTGAGAACAAGTTAGTTTACCCTAGGCAGAAATGATCTGACAAAGGGTAGGACCTTCTACAAACCAACCAGTCTGAACACATCAAAAAACTATTATACATAAGACAAAGCAGTGGGAGGGTGACAATTCTCATTAAAAGATAATGTAGTGACACAAAACTGCATGTATTCTCATTCGGGGGAAAAACAGCTATAATATAGTTTTGGGACAACTGGGAAAATATGAATATAAACAGAATATGAGATGCCACAGAATTATTGTTAATTTTCTTAGATGTGTTAATTGTGTAATGATATGAAAGAAAATATCACTTTTCTTAGGAGATGAATACTGAGGTATTTAGTAGTGAAGTGATAACGTCATTTATAATTTACTTCAAATGACTGAGCAAAAACCAAAAAAAGATACAAACACATGGAGAGTTAAAGTGAATACAGCAAAGTGTTAATCGCTGAATCTAGGTGGTAGATATATAGTTGTTAACTGTGCAGTTCAGTATTAAAATTTTTCATAAAAAGTTAGGAGACAAAAGAATGCTCTTTCACTTTTAGCAAGCCAGGCCCCTCATGAATGAAACAGAGGCCAGAAGGTCCTAGATGCCAATCCCCTCCACCAAGTTCTGTTCAGTGGCCGGGCAAGGGCCTGCCCCCCCAGTGTCCTAGTCTGGCTCTCCCCGGGGTGGGCTAACCCACTCTGTAGGTGGGCCCTACAGAGAGGTGTGCAGTTACCTGGGTCGCCTTCCCTTGGTGGAGCAGCACAGATCCCGCACTCGAGCCCACTTACCTGCATCCCACTCCAGCAGGCTGGGGTCCTCCCAGCTGCTCCCAGCTGCTGTGCGAATGCAGCGTTTCAATTTCTCTGGCTTTCCTTTCTTCTTGTCCTCACCTAGAGGCTCTGGGACCTGCAGAGGAAAGGGATGGGGTGCAAAGGGCTTGATGCTGGAGTCTGCTGGACCCATATGCCCTCTTCATGTTCCACCACTTTCCTCTGCCCACCCGGTCCTCCCGCCTCCATAGCTGGGGCACTGGATGTGCTGCTGGGTGTCAGATGTGTGTGTCTGCCTCCCTCTTCCCCATGTCCTCCCAACCCCTCCAATTTCCTGGGTCCCTCCTACCTCCACAGATAGAAGATGAC